GCACCGTGCTGTCACCTCCTTCTCCACATGGCATTTCTACTTAGGAATGTATAAGGAAAGTAGTGAAAATTGTAATTAGCTGTTTAAAAAGTACATAAAGGTGCCTGGGAGGAATTGTGCTGGGTTTAGGTTTAGTACACCTGCTTTGCTATCACTAGGTCACAAGTTCAAATCCCTGGCATCCCACATGTGCCTGGAGCAATCCAGGCAGTCCTGCTGTGAGCCCTGGTTGTCATAAGCCATTTCTGACCACACAACAGCCAAGTATGTATGAGAGCACCAGGAGAAATGGGGAAACCCCCAAGAAGCACCACAGTTAAAAAGAAATGTAAGGAAACTGTGAAAGTGGTGCATATCCAAATTTCTGGAAATAGCCAGTGCTGATGGGGTTGTGGTGCGAAAGGAATGCTCATCCACTGTTGGAGGAAATGTCATCTAGTCCAACCTCTATGGAAAGCTAGATGGAGATATCCCCCCCAAAAAAAAATCAGAAATAGAATTCTTTTATGACCCAGAGATACCACTTCTTGGCATCTATCTCAAAACACAGTAACATTTATTCAAAGAGATCTGTGCACACTTGTTCATCACAGCACAACAGCCGATATAGGAAAACACCCCAAATTCCCAACTACAGGTGAATGAATCTAGAAGTTGTGGCATATATATACACAGTGGAATACTATGCAGCTCTAAGAAAGAACAAATCATGCGATTTGAAGCAGCGTGGACAGAGCTAGAGGATATTATGCCTGAGGGAAGTCAGTCAGAAGAAAAAGGACAAAGAAAAGGATCTCTCTCAATGTGGGGACTTAAATATACACAACAGGGCAGTAACAAAGATCCACAGGCAACATAATGAGGAAACTGATCCGCACAATTGAGTTGGGGTGAGGAGGTGAGGCAAGGGAGAGGGAGGGCAGGAGATGGGTCCATTGGTGATGGGTGTGGTAAGAGAATCATGTCTATGAGAAACCACTATAAGAGTACTGTAAGTCAAAAATAAAGAAAGAAAATTTGTCTAAAAAGAAGTATGAAGAGGGGCTGGAGCGATAGCACAGCAGGTAGGGAATTTGCTTGCAAGCGGATGACCAGGTTTGATTCCCAGCATCCCATATGGTCCCCTGAGCACCTCCAGGAGTAATTCCTGAGTGCAGAGCCAGGAGTAACCCCTGTGCATTGTCAGAAAGAAAAAAATAGAAGTAGAGAGAGAGAGAGAGAGAAAGAGAGAGAGAGAGAGAGAGAGAGAGAGAGAGAGAGAGAGAGAGAGAGAGAAAGGGCCGGCCATAGAGGCAAGCTCAGGGTGGGTGGTTGGGTGGATGGGAGGGTTGGAGGGATGGGAAGGAAACGGGGGACATTGGTGGTAGGAAACGTACACTGGTGGAGGGATAAATGCTGGAACATTATATGACTGAAACCAAATCATGAACAACTTTGTAACTGTATATCTTATCATGACTATTAAAAAAAGATAAATTAATTAGTTAAATTAAACTTAAAAAAAAAAGTACGAGGGCCACAGCCAGCAAGCATGGCCTCTTGTCCCGTAGTGACCCCCGTGAGCCCCACAGCCGGCACGTGAGCACCTCAGTGGAGAGTGGCCTGGCGAGCACATATGCAAGCCCCGCAGCCAAAGGGGCGCAGACTTGGATGAGCCCCCGGTGGGGCCCCCAAGCACCCAGTCAGGCGAGAGCGTGACCCCCTGCAGCAGCGCCAGCTATAACAAAGGGAAAGGGACTCTTTTAATAACAAAAAGAGTTTAGAATCAACTTGAAATTCACTCAATTATTGCTTGATAAATTCTAGATGTTGTAAAATATTTTTTACAACCCTGGTTTGATCCTGGCACCACACACAGAAGTTCCTCCAAGCACTACGTTGGGGTGGGGGTAGGGGTGCTGAGCACAGAGCCAGGAGTAGCCCCTGAGTACCGCTGGGTGTGGCCTGAAAACAAAAAGACTCACTAAATTTCAGGCAGTGGGTTGTAGCACTGGAGGCCTCGCACCCCTGAAGTGGCCACAGGCCATGCCCTCCCCAACTCACCCTCCACAGTCTCCCCACAACCTGCAGAGTCCCTAGGAAGAGCCCCTGGACCTCTCGAGCTCTCCTGGGGAGGAAACTCCCCACACACACACTCCCCAAAAAATAAAAGACTAGATTGATTTACACTGTCACTGAAACCATCACAATAGCGCAGGAAGAAACCAAATCTGTTTCTCTCTCTCTCTCTCTCTCTCTTTCTCTCTCTCTCTCTCTCTCTCTCTCTCTTTCTCCTATTGATGTCCACAGTGGATAGTTCATGTTCGGTCATTAACTACTTTAAAAAATGACTGATCAAGTGGTCAGCCATCACTGACCACAGTGCCCCCTTAAGAGCTTGAACATGCCCGAAACCCCTCAGTCCTCTGTGAACTGTCAACCAGGTAGCTTCTCTTGTTCCCAGTGAGAAAAGTCTGGGTCACGGAGATAAGCTGATAGAAGCTCACCCTGGACCACAGAATAACTGCCAGCATTCAGGCCCAGGAAAAAATGGGGCTGGGCACACACACTTCGGGGCCTGTAGGGGCTTCCTGGCGGCTCCCCAGGGAGCTGGGCTTCGTTTTCAGGAGAATCCATCAAGGAGAAGGGCTGAGAGGAAATGAATGAAGTGATTTTTGTTTGATGACCCCAGAAAGCGGGGTAGAGCCTGCAGAAAAGATCCCAGACACCCTGGGAGACCCACACCCTGTCTCAGCTGCAGTCTCTGCACTCCGAGAACCAGGATCACCCTGGGGAAGATTGACAGACACTGGAGCTGGAGAGATAGTGCTTAGAACACAGGCATACAGTCAGACTTGGGGCATGAACCGGGCCCCCCTGGAGCCCTCTGGGTGCAACTAATGTCTGGAGGGGCGTCAGGAGTGGGGAAAGGGAGGACAAACAGAGCCTAACCCCCTTTTCAAGGAAGAAGCCTTTCACTCTCCACTTCCACAATGCTCTTGCCAGTCCCACCGCACTGAAACCAGCAGGAAAGGGGTCTCTATCAGCATCCCAGCAACTAACTCACTGCCGGGTGAGCAGGATGGATGTCCCGAGGCCGAATCACCAGGAGCCTACCCCCAGAGCGTGGGCTGGAAAGGAAGGGCTGTGAGCACTGCTGAGAGTGCCCGGGGGTGCAATGGGCATTTGGGAAGTTGCATCTCACCAGGGCCCTGTGCTGTTCTTCGTACCAAGACAGTCTCCATCAACCTCATTAGCATGCACCCACAGTTCTGCCTTATTACAATGGAGAGCCTCGCTCACGTCCAAAAATAACCTCATGTCTCATCTTTGACATTTCAGAATAATGTTCCAGGATCTCGAGTAAAGTCCAAAAGTGAAAGGAAATAGGCGAACAAGCCCCACATTGTTCTTTCCTTCCCCAGCCCTCTCTCTCAGCGGAGGGTGGTCCTGCTTCTGGAAACAAGGGGAAAACAAGAGTAGTTTGGAGGCTGGATCCAAACTCAGGGTGATCAAACAGGGTCGAGATGCTTGGTGGAAAATGATCTGTTCGCCTCTAGATAGGCGTGTGCAGACTTCCTTAGAGAAAACTGACAAGTAGACGACTTTTGTAGGGTTTGTGGCACCGAGGAATCCATAGCAATTCAGAATATTTTCCTGAGTCAGGAGCCTTGAAATAAAAATGCCAGAAGTTCCAAATGATGAGCGAGATCAATGCAAACTGCCATCGCTGGGGAATGTGGGGCAATTACTTGCCTGCTGTGTCTGCCAAGGGCAGCACTTGCCCGGGGCTCCCTGAACCTGGGCTAATTATGTGGGCAGGACAGTTTTCTGACCATTTCTGGGGAAAGCGGGGAGGGGATCTTGCAGCTTGGTTCACTGTAACACGTCTTGCTCGCAAATCCTAACAACCATAGTGCAAGTCCTGCATCACCCTTCAACACCAGGTATCACTTCATCTCTATTATTTTCATTACGTCTTTCATGAGTGTAAGCACAGCCCAGGTTAAATACTTGAATAGCTGTTACTGGCCAGAGGCTGCAGGCACCACCAGTTGAATATGAGCTGGTGATTTATCCTGACCTCTCTACAGAATATTGACCAGGAGGGAACTTTCGTAAAAGCTCTGTCTTCTGCTGCACCCAAAAATCCAGAAATTTTAGATTTTTGTTGTTTTGTCTTGGCATTACACCCGGTGAGGCTCAGGGGTTATTCCTGGCTCTTCGTTCAAATATCACTCCTGGTGGTGTTTGGGGGCATCACTGTCCCACTGTCCTCCCGCTGTTCATCGATTTGCTCGAGCAGGCCCATAACGTCTCCATCATGAGACTTGTTACTATGTTTGGCATATCAAATATGTCACAGGTAGCTTGCCAGGCTTTGCCGTGAGGGCAAGATACTCTCGGTAGCTTGCCAGGCTCTCCGAGAGGGACAGAGGAATCAAACCCCGGTCGGCCATGTTGGCTGTGTGCAAGGCAAATGCCCTACCCACTATGTTGTCGCTCAGGATGCCAAGGATCGAACCCAGGTCGGTCACGTGCAAGGCAAGCATGTTATCTGCTGTGCTATCATTCCAGCCCCCCAAATCCAGAATTTTCACAGAGATCTAATTTAATCCAGTCCCAACAAAATGAGAAGCTGCAGCTAATGTTCCTTGTTGTTGTCAAGTGTCCGACTAGTTAAGGAAGCTCTCCTCTCAGTCACCCCACCAGATCATTCAAACACAAAACAGCAAGAATTTTAAAAACACTGTTTCTTCTCCTTTGAACACGAAAAGTGCTTATGCATCATTCACTTACTTAGGGTCAATTGCATCTTTCATACTGTGCCACAAAACAGCCTCCTGACTCTCACCATTAAATTCTAAATTCCAGACCAGGATGACTCTGCCCCATCCAACCTTCTGGACCTCCCTGAGGGGGCAGACTGCCCCAGGATTGCCACTGGGGAGGGGGGGTGGTCCAGCTCCTCACTTCTGCCTCCTCATTGACACTCGGACACCTTTCATTATTTTTGCTAGAGCTCTGGAGAAGACAATTCTCTAGCTGAAACCAGACCAGCGGCCAAGTCTTCTTTGGGGAAGTGTGAGTCTTCCAGACTTCCAGCCATCGACCATACATTAGTCAGGCAGAAACACAAAAGCACCATGACTCCAAGGAAGCCAGAGGGCGCGGACCCGGGCAGATCCTCTCCTGGTGAGTGGCTGGTTTACTGACATTCGCAAAAATCAGAATGCCTGGTTTGAAGGGGAAGGGCTGCTGCAGTGGCCTTGGTTACACCTAGTGTTTCCTGAGGGGCTGATTGAGGTTTCTGGGTGCACTGACATCAAGGGTGGGATTCATTTCAGGGCAGAGGGTCTATGCAGGGAACGGAAATGACGGGGGGGGGGGGGGGGGGGGAGGGTCCTGACCACCTTTTCTCCCCAGTCACAAGCCTAGAATTGTTGTCTTTTCATCTTCCTCACCCTTTTGGTGGGGATAAAGGCATTTGGCCCCCAGGTATCAAGTTTTATGACTCCAGCCTAGAGCGTGAAGAGCCGCTTTCAAAAGCATCTGAGTGGCATGATTTATGGCCCAGGAAAGCGCAATAAAGTGTTCTGGTTCTGTGGTTGTCCTCTCAGGAGAAAGTAGCAGGTCTTGATCAATCCTCTCTTTTGTGAGATTTTGGTAAATAATTCACTCTTAAGCTGCCTTTGAAGCAAAAAAACAGTCCTCTGCTTGAGGCGGGAGTGATTTAACGGTATCCAGAAAATGGAGAAATGCCATGGAAAGGTTAGAATCCCTCGGGCTCACCCCATCAAAGGTAACATGTGCACAACAAACTGGATTCCTCGGGGAACTGCAGCGAGGTCGAGGTCACCAGACAGCTTCACCCTGGTAACCAGGCGGGAAGCTCTGCCTTCTACTCCCTGTGGTCCAGGAGAACCCATAGGAGGGGCTGAAGAATCCAGAAAGAGCACGCGGTTTATTTAAATCCAAGTCACCACCACTTGCTAATCCCAGAGAGCTCCTGTCCCACAGCCACGGGTCCAGATAAATCCCCGACCGTGTCTCCAATAGACAGCAGCTTGCGCTGAGATTAACCACCCACGCTTCGTTGCCTTAATGAAGTAGGAAACAAATCGCCTTCGGGACGCTGTCGTGTCAGCTCCTTTCCTCCTTTAACAGGGGACAGTGGCATCAGAACTGACAAGGTCTCATGCTGAAGACTCTTGGTTGGGTTGAGGTCACTAATGAAGCTGCTGAGAGGGAAACGGGGCTGATAAGATCATTCCCCAGGTTGCAATTCATCGAAGGGGGAGGACATCTTCAAATACTAAAAATAAAATTGAGTCTGGGTTTATGTAACGTGACTCCTTACAGAGGCTGGCATTTTTAGCCTTCCTGTGAAAGCGAGGCAACATCTGTATCATCCGCAATCTCCTCGGTGGAGAAAGCCAGTCAAATGAGCCATTTGGGGCTCACTCCATCAAGTTAGCTTGTCTGCCTAATACAGATGTTTTTCAGACTTCGCCAACTCCATACGGAACTGACATACTGATGGGAAGGGAGAACAAACTCACTTTACATCCTATAAAACATCGCATTGGAAGAATCACTAAGCTAGGAAGCGCCAAGGTTTAGGCAAGAGAGCCAAGTTGGCAGGAAGCTATTGCCTTCATCAAACACCAGATGTTACTTGTAGCAAAAGCCTTTAAAAACCTCCACACATTGGGCAGAGTTGGCCCCAGCATAGCTGAGCCCCGCACAGCAGCCCCAGCCAGAGGTCAGTCACTACAGAGCTGAGCAAGTGGTGCAGTCACTGGGTGGATCGTGGAAAGTCAAGGCTGGGTGTATGGATCCACCCACTTCCCCGGTGTAGACTCACCCTAACGCCCCTGAGTCAGCCCTGGGGAGCCAGAGAGTGAGGGCAGCATTTTCAGCCGTGTCTCCTCAGGAAAGTGAAGGGGAGTGAGGTGAGACTTCAGAAAGCTAGGAGGTCAGAGAGACAGGCTGAGGGTATGGCTCTTGCTTGCGCCCTACCTGGTTTGATCTGCCCGTGGTCCCCCGAGCACTAGCAAGAGTACCCCTAAGCACCTCCACGTGGCCCAAACCCCACCCTACCACCCAAAAAAGAACATTCAGATAGCCTCCCTGCTGCTATCATACAAGAACTTAGAGGCCAGAGTGTCAGTGCAGTGGGGAGGGTGCTTGCCTTGCACATAGCTGAGCAGGGTTTGCTCCCCCGCATCACAAAAGTCCCCTCAGTCCCACCAAGAGTAATCCCTGAGCACAGAGCCAGGAGTAGATCCTAAGCACCACCGGATATGTCTCAAAAAGGAAAAGAAAAGAGGTTTCAGGGATGGGGGGAGGAACTGGCCCTTCCCCCCCAACCGGGACCAGACCCGGAGTCGCCGCCCACAAAGGGTTCCTTTGCTCCTGAATGGCCATGATCCTAGAGGCACACAAACCAATATGGGAACCCAGTGGCTTCTGGCAGAAATCCCTCTGGACTTAATTACTAAAACACCAGAAATCCAAAATCATATGCTCTTCATTATCAGCAATAGAAAACAAATTATCTAATGATGCCTTTTCAGCAGGTTTGATAGTTGGGGGGGAAATTCCAAATAATAATAGTGGGTCTTCTGTTGAAAAAAATGAATGTAATCAAAGTAAAGAGAGAGTAAAGTGAAAATCATCTGCCACACAGGCAGGGGGAGGGATGGGATGGGGGGGGTATACTGGGGGTTCTTGGTGGTGGTACATGTGCACTGGTGAAGGGATGGGTGTTTGATCATTGTATGACCGAGACTTAAACCCTGAAAGCTTTGTAACTGTTCTCACAGTGATTCAATTAAAAAAAAAAGAGTAAACCAGTAGGAATAGCAACTTAAAAGAATTAACAAAGAAAAAGAAAAGAGAATTTGGGGCCTGGAGACCCTGAGTCCGCAGGTCTGCCCTCCCATTGGCACAGTCTCTGGTGTTCTTCACCTCACAGAGAAATTGTCTCCTAGAGCATCTGTGGAAGGACACCAACGGTGAGTTGCGCCATCTTCTCCCCACACCAGATCTACATGACGCGGAGCTGCCTGTGGGGTACAGGGGTACAGTGAGCCCCTATGCAATGCACACCCCCAAGGCTGACCTCCTGCTGAGCTGGGAGGTGGCTCAGTCCCCTGCAAATCTATCTAATGTCAATCTTTGTCAGAAAGGACCTCTGTCCTCACCCGCCTTCTAGAACCCCCACGCAGCTCCTTCAGCACAGGAAGTGAGCCGGGCCCTCCACAGCCAGATTTCTCGCTCGATTAGAAGGAATTCACGCATTTTCCATTAAGTTCATGTGTTTCCAAGGGGGGGAGGAAACCTGTGCTTCTCTCTCTCCTCCTCCTCCTAGCTCTTCCTTCCCCCGCAGTGCATTTGTGAGAAATTTATAGGTGTGTGCTTCAGAGTCAACAGGCTCAGATTAGCAATGGAGCCCCATTTTTGAATGGTTGTGTTCCTTTGGGCAAGTAATGTCTCAGTTTTCTCAGCTGTAAAATGGGGTGGAGTGTGCCAAACCAGGACCCACCTTGGGAACGGCTATGAAGCTTCAATGATAAAGTGTGTCCCCAGTCCTTATATTAGTACCTGGTGCCATCCACACTCCACAGCCGACAGCTGGTGGGACCCAGCGCACAAGAGCTACATTAAGGAGATTTTTCCAGAACGCTTTGTCTTTAATATCGTTCTCCCCAGTCTTTTCTCTTGACCAAAAATCAGTGCCAAAATTTTTAAATCCTATCTATGCAGAAACAGATACCTCTACTGCACCCTGAATTTCTAAAGCAAAACACCAAATAGGAAAATAATAAATAAGCCAAACACATTCACTGACCAGAGATTTGCTTCATCTCCAGATAGAAATGAGCCATGGGGCAAGCCCCAGTGATCCAGTGAGCTGTTGATTCCAAAATTCTATTTCGTGATTCAGATAAACACCAATGTTGAAAACTGGGCAGCTGTATGTTAAAAAAAAAAAAAGAACTTGGACCTCTAACAGCATGCACAAAAGTCAGATTAAAATAGATTAAAGACCTCAATATCAGTCCTGAATCCATAAGGTGTATGGAGGAAAACGTAGGCAGAACCCTCCATGACACTGAAACCCAAGGAATCTTCAAAAATGAAACAGCACTGACCAAGCAAGTGAAGCAAAGATAAACAAATGGGACGACATTAAACTAAGAAGTGTCTGCACCTCAAAAGAAATGATGACCAATATACAAAGACAACCCACATAATAGAAAAAATTATTTACCCAATACCCATCTGATAAGGTGTTACATATATATATATATATATATATATATATATATATATATATAGGCTGGAGCAATAGCACAGTGGGTAGGGCGTTTGCCTTGCAAGCGGCCAACATGGCCGACCCAAGTTCGATTCCTCCGCCCCTCTTGGAGAGCCCGGCAAGCTACCGAGAGTATGTCGCCCACACAGCAAAGCCTGGCAAGCTACCCGTGACACATTTGATATGCCAAACACACAGTAACAAGTCTCACAATGGAGACGTTACTGGGCCTGAGCAAATCGATTAACAATGGGAGGACAGTGATATATATATGTGTATATATATATATATATATATATATATATATATATATATATATAGCCCTGGTAGAACTTCACAAGAAAAATACATCCAAACTTCACAAGAAAAATACATCCAATTCCATCAAAAAAGGGGGTAATAAATGAACAAAAACTTCCTCAAAAAGAAATTCAGATGCCCAAGAGGCACATGAAAAAATGCTTTCTAACACTAATCATCAGGGAGATGCAAATTAAAACAATGAGATATCGTCTCACACGAGTCTGGCACATTATCAAAAAGAACAAGAACAATCAGTGCTGGTGTAGAGGTGGGGAGAAAGAGACTCTAATTCATTGCTGGTGGAAATGTCGACTGGTCCAACCTTTTGGAAAACAAAGTGAATATTCTTCAAACAACTAGAAATTGAACTTTCAGATGACCCAGTAATACGACTTCTAGAAATATACCCTGGGGGCCTAAAAACACTCAGCATAAACACCATCTGCACTTCTATGTTTATTGCAGCACTGTCCACAATAGCCAGAATCTGGAAACAACCCGAGTGCCTGAGAACATACGTCTGGATAAAGAAACCATGGTACATCTACACAGCGGAATATTATGCCGC